AATTTGGTTTTTTAAGGTCATTCTTGATTGATGGAAAAAAAAATTACGGTTTGTATCGAATTTTGGTTTTCACCTGAATTAGTAGGAGATTTAAATTTTGGGTACAATTAGGGAGTTAGAGTAGGGTTTATAATTTTCACCAATCAGTGTTTGTTTGAGAAGTGATGGCTGATCGAACGGAAGATTTGATGAATTTGGACTTAAATTTAGGGCCTAGGTCTCCCCCATCACCCATGATAGGCCCGGGAACAGGGTCGTCATCAGGCGAATCGGTGAACGTTGTCGGGTGGGAATCACTCTATGTTAGGGAGAAGTAGGCATTGGTGGCATTGGATCAATAATTCAGGGTGATCACAGGCTAGGAATTCCTGGATCCGCCACTACCTATAGACTGGCCTTATCTATGGAGTTGAGCAAGGTGCACGATGTTTTTCACGTATCTCAATTAAGAAGGTATATACCCGATAAGTCACATGTGTTACAACCCAAAACAATTAAGTTAGATCAAAGCTTAACTTATGAGGAAAGACTTGTCAAGATTATTGACAGTAAAGTGCGTAATACACGCAACAAGTAAGTTAAGATTGTTAAGGTACTATGGTCTAACCAAGAACATGAGGAGGCAAATTCTGAAACCGAGGATGAGATGAGGAAAAAGTACCTTGATTTGTTTAAGGTATGTTGAGTTACGGGGACGTAACTCGTTTTCTTTAAGGAGGGTAGAATGCGGTAGGGTTTCGCGCTTTTTCCCTGAATTTTTTTACTAATTCTAGTGCTTTTTACACATGTTAACGGTAATTTCGAGTACTTTTAGATTCAAGAGAACAGTAAAGATAAGTGTATGTCAAAAGAGTACAACAATATTACACAAAAATGAGGAAAAAGGTTTTGAAATTTGGTATTCTTTCACTTATGGAGTGTGGGTTTTGTTTTTCATTACCTAAGTTTTGGGGACAAAACTTCTTTAAAGGGAGGTAGAATGTAATACCCCGTATTTCTATACGATTTAGAAATTAAAGTATTATTTTATAACGTATTTAAATAATTTGAAATGAATTATTTATGGTATTTTAATATTTAAAAGGTGTATTTAAATAAAAACCATCAAATTAATTATTAAAATGGTTTTGGAAATATTTTAATTTTTTATTTATAAACTTTGGGACATATTTAATTTATAAAAGCATTTTAAAGTCAAAGGAACTTTAAATAAAGTCAAATGACTACTTTAAGTGGAAGTGGGAATCATTAAGGGTAAAAAGGGAAAGTTAAAGTATGAGGGTTTTTGAGAGGGAGTATACATAACCACCTAAGAGCAAATTTAGACTTTGCCCAAGATGGAGAACACCCAAAGGTAAACTTTCTCTCTCTCTCTCCTCTTATTTTCTCTCCTTAATTTTTCCCTTCTCCCCCACATCACATGCACCACACACGCACACCACATGGTGGCCGGCCACCACCACCACATCCCACCGGCTAGCCGCCGCCACCAGCAATCATCGGCAACAGCCACCTCCTCTTGTGCGTGCGGTTGTGTGTTTTTTTTAAAAAAAATCTTCTTGCTTTGATTTTAATTAGACCTTGATTAAATATTAATTTTGGGTATTGTGTGATGAAATTATGATGTTTTTAATGATGTTTAATATATAAAATTTTCAGATTTGATTTTAATGAAAAAAACCCCAAGTTGAGTAAACCCTAGGTTTCTAAATTGATGTTTATTGAAGGAAATTAATTGTGGTTGATCTATATTATTGAAATTAATGTTTTTGAAACAAATTACAGCAAGTTTTAAGGGTTTTAAATTGCCAGAATTTTTATAAAGAGGCTAAACTAAGGTTTTCGAAGGAATTTTAACTACCCAACAATTGGGAATAAAACTAAGCTATAATAAATAATTTTCAGCAAGTATTGAGAGGTTTAAAAGTGTTTTAAAGTGTGTTTATATTGTTGAAAATTTAATGAGAATAAGTATTAATGTCTCTTGGTATTTGTGGGTTGTAGGAGACTTCCAAGTGAGTGATTTCATGTAGTCGTGGCGATTTTTAGATCATGTTCGAGGTACGTACGCGTACTCGGTAATTATTAAGCGTGTAGAAGCATACTAGGATTTATTAATTAATTCCAAGTTAGTATCCTTCAGGAATTGGTTAGAATTGTTGGATTGAATTGGTTTGGTGAAATTAAATTAGTTGTGATGATTGGTTTATGAGGCATGATTTATTTGAAATGAATTATTGATGGAATTTATGATGTTTGGAATAATGTATATGGACAACACTTTTATTATTGGCATAATTAAAGGCATAATTAATTAAACTACATGTTTAATTTGGTTTGGAATATTAAAAGGGAATTTTATTATGGTTTATATAATTTTTATTGATGCTATAAGCATGAGAATTAAGCTATTAAGTGTCGTAGTACACAGAAATAAAAATGTATTGCGGTGCCTAAGTGCACTTAAGGTGTTTATTATTCGTCGAGGGATAGGATTTGCAGTGCTTTATGCGCGTAAGGTGTTTCTACACCAAGGTAGTTTAAAAAGGGTTCAACATTTAAATTAAGTTTGATCACTGAATATTCAAGAATTGAATTGGAATGTTTGATTACTTGAATGATTCATGTTGATTGGGTATGTTGTGGATTGAGATTCATCACCAAGTCTAAAATATGTAAACAACGTAAAGTGAAAGAGATTACGCACCAAAACTCTTGGAACATATATAACTCGAGTATGTACGTATTGGGGGTGATATGAGGTTTTATATTTAACCATAACGTCTATTGGGAGTATAAAAAAGCTGTATTTTCCTTTTATTACTTTATGTGCAGGACTTCAGTCTCTCACAAGTGACATTTATGCTAGGCGATTAGCTCCCGGAGTAGTTTACCCCAATTCTTTGGGGCAGGGATTTGGTTGGAAATCTGTTCGATGCTTAATCAATTCGATAAGCAATTGAATTGTCTATTGTTTGAGTTGTTTAATGTATGCTTGTAAACAGGTGCAAAAAGGTAAGTTGTGTGATGCTAGGTTGTAAGCATGTTAGTATGTTTCATTTACGCTTATGTATTCAGCATTGCTGATTGTGTGTTTATATGTTTGTTTGGCCTTGTCTTTATCTTTGCCCTATGACGACTCATTTCTAATGGCGAGTAGTGGGGAATAAGTAAAGAGAAACTTTTTAGGTGATGCGGCATATTCATGTTGGGACATGAGTGAAAAGCGAATCTTGTTTAGTTCTTATAAGGATATGATGTGTTTTATTTGCTTTGAATATTATTTATATGGTTGTTGGACTAACGCGTTGATTTAATTATTAGTTTGGGTTTTGAAAGGGCTTATAATGGTTCCAAGTTGTAGGTTGACTTTGGTTTGAATTTATTTTCGTTTGGTTTGACTTTTGAAGTTAGTTTTTATTTTGAATGATTTTTTAAACGAGTCTTTCGCTATGTGTCTTGGATAATTGTCGTAGCCATTATTACAGTGGCGGTAATGTCTTAGAATTTCCTATTTCGTATTTCAAAAAGGGCAAAACATGTATTTTAAAGGAAATGAATTTATAGGGTGTTACAAAGTGGTATCTGGGAGCTTTGGTTGAGATTTTTATTACCACTAAAGCCAAAAACGTGTTTTAAGGTACATTTGTTTTAAACTTGGCCAAGTGTTTATTTTACGAGTTATTTTTAAAAAGTGAATTGTTTTTTATTTTGATTTATTTTTGGGAGGACCGAAATTTTTTTTTTTTAGGGAAAAAGGTTTGAATTTTTTTTTTTTATTATTTAAGATGAGAAATCCGAAATTTTTTTAAGGAAGTGTCCAATTTTTTTATTTTTTTTTTCTTTGGATCGAGAATTTTGGCCTATTTTAGCCTAATTTTTGAAATTTTTGGGTAATAAGGGGAGTTCAAAAATATTTTTTGTTTGTTCGTTTTACAGGAAAGCGAAGGATTAACTATGAATTATGTGTTAAACGCTTTAAAAGCATGTTGTGAGCTTGGGTGGGAAAGAATTTAGGCATATAAGTTAGAATTATTCTTGTATGCATTAAATGTTTAAGTTGTGATGTTTGATCATGTGAAGTGAATGATGTGTAAATATATATATGATTGAATTATGTGGTTAGTTAGAATTAATAACATTGTATGATTGAACATTAAACTTAAATTCATACAAGAACTGCATTGTTTCCTTTTTCTTTTGGGCACTCACAAATTGGGACACTAGTTAAGAAAGATTATGAACACCCCTTTGATTATGCCAAGAAAGTCCGTTTTTATTGTTCCTACTTGAGTAATGTCCTTGGGGACAAACAATGGGATCTTCCTGATCGTATTTCAACTCTAGTCTAGTTGTGTATTGTCTTCCTAATGAACCCCCATATTTGGCTATCAAAACCAAGTTTGCTGAATTCTACTTACACTACGGACAGTGCTACCCTGATTACAAATATTTAATCCCAATTACTCAAAAATTAATATGAAGGCTCCGATACTATGTAGAATCTTGCACAAATACGGCTCGACTTTTCATTAGGCAAACGAAACAATATATATGAGTTATAAGGAGATCTAAGCTTATAATAAAAGATAATAATTAGGAAAATACCTAAAATACAAGATAATCATCCTAAAAGATCGTAACAAATAGTCTAAAGAGATAATCACAAAATATTCTCAATAATGTTTTTATTTTCCTTTTTTTAATTGTTTTTAAATATCATGTCATTACTATAGATATTTTAATAACAATATTACCGTATATTTCAATCTTTCAATGGTCATATCTACTTGGTGGGGATTGATGTTATGTAATTTTTTTTCTTATTTTATTCTTTCAAAAAATTTTACTACCTAACTTATTTTATCTTAATTTATTTAAAATCAAATTTTTTAAAAAACTTTTCCTTTTTAAACATCATTTGTATATACTGTTTTAACTAAATCATTATTAGTAAAGAGTACCGCTGATCGATATGAGAATGATATGTGTGTGCCACTTAAACTTGTCTCATAATTTCCATTCCCATGTAATTTGGCTCCATAAATGAACCCAATGTTAGCTATATAAGCAACAATATTAGCAAGAAAATAACACAAGTGGAAAATTTATGTGCACTTTACATCAAGATATTTTACGGCCATAACATTGTTTTTAATTTATTTTGTGTATGTACACAATTACACATTGTGGCTTCTAGTAATGAGGTATTTTCTTTTTCTTACATATACAAAAAACATTCTTCAGCCATCATGAACTTCAACAACTTATCAAAGGCTTCAAAATTGATTCAATCAGCTGCCAAGAACCTGAGTGTAGCCGTGTATGGGAAAGACTTCAATGTCGAAATTAAAGCCTCACAAAACTCCCTTAAACAGCTTGTTCTGGCTGCTGTTGCACTTGTTGCTGAGCAATGTATGGTGGTGCATTGCCTTCTTGCCAACCCCAAACTATATCCCTTAAAGCAGGCCTTAAATCGCGGTCACAAAAATCATTGTACTCGATTGTGTCACCACTAGTTTTCTTGATCTCTAGTACATGTAACATTGGTGCTACCTCAAATATCTCAGCATCAATTTTAAGTAGCCCTTTTCTCCCTTCTTTGTTGCTCTCCAAATGCATTATTCCATCCTTCTTATGAATCTTAAACTTTTTATTTATATGAGCTAATTGTTCGAATATTGAGACTATCATAGAGGGGGGCTTGGAAGTAGTGAATCGAGCCTCGGGTTGGTGCTTGTTGCGGTCCTTCTTGAAAAGGCCGGATAGATCAAAACCCGGTGAGAGGGAGATAATGTCAAAAGCATTCAAACATGTAGGCTTCATAGGAGTTACATTTTCGGTATCTTCTACATTTTCATCTTCTTTCTTAGGAGAATTGCTTGTACTAGTGCTTCCAAAATCAATGCTATTCAAAACATTGCTAACATCCTTGGGAGTTATAGGAGAAACTTCGAGTTCATCAGGTCCATTAACATGTTTGAAGCCTTTTAGAAACCAAGAATTCTCCATCAACATGGAAACCGTTATCCTCGTGCAAGGGTCCGGGTCAAGTATCTTGGATAGGAGTTTCCGGGCCTCGGATGGGAACCAATTCGGGAACCTATAGTCCCCTCTGCTAACCTTTCGGTATAAGTCCATAATATTTGTTTCATGGAATGGTAAAAACCCGGCTAGTAAAACATATAACACGACCCCACATGACCATATATCGGCCTTAGCCCCATCATACCCTTGCTTATTGATCACCTCTGGCGCGACATAGGCTGGAGTACCACATGTCGTGTGTAGTAGCCCATCTTGCCTCCTTGACTCTAGCAATGCACTTAACCCAAAATCAGATATCTTAAAGTTACCATTTTTATCTAAAAGAAGATTTTCAGGCTTCAAATCGCGGTGGTACACCCCACGACTGTGACAAAAATCAATAGCACTAATAAGTTGTTGGAAGTAATTCCTAGCTTGATCCTCCTGTAACTTCCCTTTTGAAACCGTGTTAAAAAGCTCACCACCCTTGGCATATTCCATGGCAAAATAGATTTTAGTTTTGCTTGCCATGACTTCATAAAGTTGCACAATGTTAGGGTGTTGAACGAGCCTCATCACCGAAATTTCTCGTTTGATTTGGTTGATCATTCCCACCCTTGAGACTTTTTCTTTGTCCACAATTTTGGTGGCTACGCTTTGGCCCGAGACAATGTGCCTAGCATAGTAAACTTTCGCGAAATTCCCTTGCCCTAGCAACCGTCCTAACTCGTACTTATGGAACAAAATTGTTCCTTTCTTCTCCATTTCTTTCATAGGATGTTATGATCAAACTCCTTTAGAATTTTTATTTTTTTTTTCTTTTGTTTTTTTGGTGGTAGGGTGTGATTGTCAAAGGGAGTTATGATTTTTGGACGTTGTTTCGAAAACGAATTCATCCATTTTGTTCATGATTGTAGGAGAAGAGATAAAGAGAAAGCGATACGCTAAGAAGGCAAGGGAAGGGCAATGAAAGAAAGGATGTTCAATCAAATTTTGCCCTACAAGAGAGAAAGAGCTGTAATTTGTGTTTGTTTATCACAAAAAAAAAAAATACGAAATCAGTGGATGGTAAAAGCGCGGTTTATAGTCAATATAAGACCGTTCTTTTTGTGTAATTGTTACTTGGATAATACTCTATTTATGGTAGTAATTTGTGGCTATTAATTAGGATGTTTTAATTGGAATATTATATTGATTGCTTTGGAATTTTTTATTTTTTTTCTTAAAAAATTTTGATAAGAAATGTGATGACTTATTTGTGGTATACCTAATACTTCTGATTTATGCTAGTTCAATTTATTTTATTTTTTGATCAAGTTATGCTAGTTCAATTCTTTGGTTACTCTCCAATTTTTATTGATTGATTTATTATTTACCCTCCATGAATTTTGGGGAATATACTGCTAAAGTTTGTAGAAAATGCAAAACTTTGAAATTTTGAATAAAAAACGCTATAAGCTTATAACTTATGGTTTGGTCTTATTGAATGTTGATTCAGTGGACTAATCTAAGGAAGAATTGAAGGAGATCGTGCATAATGATTAACATGATTTTAAAATCGCAAAAAAATAATGTTTTGTGATGTTGCATTAAAATTAACGATCCAAATTTATAAACTTTAAAACTCAATTATCTTATATGAAGAATTATACTTTGTACTACATCCGAATGATCCGATCCATTTCATAACTGCTTGCTCAAGAATTAAGAAAAAATAAGAGTTTGTGCAATTGTGGAGGTTGACATTTGGTTGTCTCAGGGAACGACGGTGTCCTCAGACCTAAAGATGTGTTACTTTATTCTTGGAAACGGGGTTGTGATGTGTGTGTTGACTTAACAAGGTCTTCTCCTTTGACTCAGTTTGGATTGTCTGATTTTTGTTCCTGGGCGGTTTGTGACTGATGCGGGTCATCGTAAACAGGTCAAGTATGAAGCTAGGTGTCAGGCGATTAGGTACGGTTTCCTTTCTTTCTCCTTTTCTCGGGGAATTAGAGAAGGAGGTTGTCCCATTGCTTAAACAGATTAAGAAGTTCTCGAAGACACGCAAGACATTGGGGCACGTGCTACTGCCTATATCTTCACTAGGAATGGATTTGATATAGCTAGAGGAGTGGGAGCCCAAATTGTATCTCGGCTTCCCACTAATTTTTTGTAGGTTGTATGACTTTATCTGTTCACTACTAGAAAACAGTCAATCAACGACGGAAAAAATCCGTCGGAAAACCCTGAAATTCCGTCGGAAATGGCCATTTTCGACGGAATTCCGTCGGAAAGCATTGTCGGAAGACCTTTTGTAGGTATTTTGCGATATTCCGTCGGAAGTGACCTTTTTGACGGATTTTGTTCTGTCCGCGCTTTTGTTGACTTTAAGTAAAATTCCGTCGCAAGGTTCCGACGGAAATCTTCGTCGGTGGGGAAATTTTCCGAACGGAATTTTCCGTCGGAATATACTTCTGACGGAAAATTCCGTCGGAAAAGTGAATAAAAAAAAATAAAAATAAAAAACCACCACAATCCCCACCCAGAACCACCCTAGCCACCAGCCCACACCACCCACCACGTCCCAGACACCCCCACCCCACCCTGACCCACCCAGACCCAGACCCACCCCACCCACACACCCCTACCCCCGCCACCAGCCTACACCACCCACCACGTCCCAGACACCCCACCCCACCCAGACCCAGACCCACCCCACCCCACCCTAGAGCCAGACCCACCCCACCCCACCCCTCCTAGACACCCCAAACCTGCCACCAGATCTACAAACCACCACCGAAACCACCATTCCCCACCCTCCCCAACCACCACTGAAACCCACCTTAAACCACCACCCACACCCAGCACCGAAAAAACATCCAAAAATTCGAAAAAACAACCAATAAAACATCCAAAAATTCGAAAAAAACAACCATAAATTAATGAAAAAAAACCGAAAAAAACAACAAAAAAAACCGAAAATACAACAAATTAATTAAAAAAAAAAAAGATACGTACCTAAATTCGACCACACAAAACCTCGAAATTGGGTTTACGAGGCCAAATTCGACCAGAAAAACTCTAGATCTAGAGTTTTTATAGTCGAATTTGACTTGAAAACCTTCGTTTTAACCATCAATAACCTTCGTTTTCATTGTTGACGGTGCGAGAGTGAGAAAGAGATGAATAGCAGCGAAAGTGAGAAAGAGATGAATAGCCGCGAAGAAAGAGAAGAAGATAGAATGAAGGAGGAGAGGAAATCAGAGAGGAAGAGAAGAGGAAAGAGAAAGAGGAAAGAGGCAGCAAGAGGAGAGAGAAAAGAGGAATGAAAGGGGAAGGGGGAATGTAGGGTTTCCGGGGTTTTTTAATCCTGTTTTTTTTTTTAAAATTATAAAATCCGTCGGAAAACCTTAATATTCCGTCGGAACTTTTCGACGGAATTAAAATCCCTCGAAATTTCCTATGGATTTAAAATCCGTAGGAATTTAATCTGTTCCGAGGAAATAAAATTCCATTGGAATATTTCCGAGGGAATTTCTGTCGGAACTAACATTTTCCGGCGGAATTTTCTGAGGGAATTTTACTCCGTCGGAATCCGGCCTATTTCTAGTAGTGGTTTTTGAGATATAATAATAATAATAATAATAATAATAATAATAATAATAATAATAATAATAATAATAATAATAATAATAATAATAATAATAATAATAATAATAATAATAATAATAATAATAATAATAATAATAATAATAGCGAGATTGTATAAGATGGAATTACGTTAATTTTATTGTAAGACGGTCAATTTAAGAATAACTTTAACCATTTTTATGGTAACTTCAATCTCTTTAAGGGTAACATTTAATTTGTCGTTCGTTTGATTGTATTTTAATGTGTAATTTCTAATGAATACTTGCTATGAAGGCTAATATGATTAATTTAATACATTATAAATTCATAAGTATTTTTTAAGGATAAAATTTAGGTTAAGAAAATGATAACTTTTGTAATATATAAGAGTAAGTTTAAATATGAGTAATAACTTTAACCCGTCTTACAATATTTTAATGAAAATCTGCCTTAATTAAGAATTTGTGAAAAAAAATGATATATGGGTTGTAGATTTACTAAAAAAGTATTAACACTTAAAAAAAAAGGACATAAAATTAATGTATATGAATAATTAAGATTTTTTTACTTTATAGCAGCATATTTATAATAAAAATCACATAGATCAGAATATCAAATTATCAAATGATAGCTACTAGTATATATACAAGTATTTATTTAAAATTTAAAATTGATAAAGTATAGTGCATTAGTACTTTAACAGTTTGTTTGGGTAATATTAAGGAGAGGAAAAAGAAAGGGAGGGAGGTAAAGGGGAGGGAAGGGAAAAGAAGGGGAAGGAAGAAGGATGAGTTTTCCTTCCAAATCTTTCCATTGTTGGAGAGATCATTTTCATCCCTATTTTTTTTATCCAAATAAAAGAAACTCCCTCCCTTGATTTCCCTTCCCTTCCTTTCCCTCCATTTCCTTCAATCCAAACACACTATTATACTTGTTTAATAGTGTCATGCAATGTGCATAAATTTTCAAAATAAGTGATAGAACATGAGATTTTTGTAGACCGACTTTGTACTATATATAAGTCTATAAGGCCATGAGATTTTTGTAGGCTGACTTCTATTATAAGTCTACAAGGCCACGTTTGGTATATAGCTAGCATTGTTTCTAAGAGCTCATCTAACTAATTGGTTAATTACATTATTACATGTCTGGATTGTGGAATATGATTGAATTAGTTGTTGCACTTATCTATATAAGATTGCTTAGTAGCCAATAACTTGTAGTTGTTTTATTACTTTAACATGTAAAATGCAAATAAAGACATAAGTATTAGATTTGGTGAGGATGCAAATTATAGCAACTTTAATACAAGTAAAAAATTATCATATGGTTAAATTTCTCAATCAACTAATCTAAATGGTTCTATTTTTTAAATTAGTGGATTTTAACTCAATTAACTAAGTAAAAGTACTCTTTTACCAACCAACCAACCAAAATAGTTGTTTTAGTCAACCATCTAATTTTGGTCAAATAAGTTTTATTTTCATCAAAACTCTCTATATTAAATTTAATAGGTTCGTTTTGTTTCATTTTAGTTGTCACGTTTTTGTAATAATGTTTGCCAATGCATGATCTTAAAATTAACTATTTCAATTATTATTTAAAAAGAATATTACCTTCCGAATTTTATTAAGTGTTACACTTGTCTTAATCAATATTTTATAAAATTTGGGTTACACTTATTTTTGGGCAAACAAATACATTTAATTAATATATTCTTACTCTCTCATCTCACAATCTTCACACCTAAATTTGCTTATATACATGAAATATACATGCAATATATATAATACAGTAGATATATTCAATTATCAAATAGAAAAATCTATATAAAAAAAGTTTATATTTCAAAAATAAAATTGTAAAAAATCTATCAAGATCCATGAATATTTTATGTTTATAGGTACAAATCCAAAAAAAAAAAAAAATTATTTGTTCAAATTCAAAATGTGTAGACTAATATAAAATACTCCATAAAAGATATATGCTACCTTCATTTCTTATTATGTGTAATAAAAGAATATTTTATATCTCATAAATAATACTCTTGTATTACACCTATTAAAAAAAACATATGTAATATAAAACCCTGTAAGGTAGTACTGGCCGGTAATTAAAGGGGTCTGTTGTTTTTTCCTTGTAAGTGCTAACCGTTTGAAGCACATGCAACCTGATATTTATTTTTACCAGCTATATCTTAGTTGGCAAATCACACAATTCACTTATAAAACGTTACAAGTAACCTGACTTTAGTGGGTTTCATACTTCATCAATTGCAACTTGTGAGATAGAAACTTTCTTGATAAGACCACATATAAAAAATAAATTATTTTCCTATTGAAATAATTTGTTTTTTTAATGCTTTGTTTAATTTACTAACTCTACATCCATTCTCTGACTATTTCTGATGATTAACAATTAAGAATAATTTATTATGTGAAAAGTTATAATAAGATTAGATTTGTGTACATAATAATGAATATTTTTAAGATACTACTTTTTTTATATTACGTTATCATTACTAATTAATGATTAAAATTATTAATGGTTTAAGTTGTTGTGAATGATAAGCTTGAAATATAGAATGTTTTAACTTTGTTTAAAAAATAAATAAGCAAAATTACCTAGTGACACAAACTAAAACTATATATATATATATATATATATATTGGTCACTAAAAATCATAATTGACATTTTGGTAACCAGAGTACGTTTCAGTCGCCGAAACTCAATAAATTATTATTAAATTATTTTAAAAGGTTAACAAAATTTTAGTATATTTATAATAATAAATAAAAAGCTAGATTTTTTAAAATTAACATCTTAAATTATGATGACTAAAACCCCCTTCAGTCACCGAAATGCCATTGATGGTCTTTAATGATCAAGTTAGAATTAATTTAATTCTAGAGACAAGGTTGTGTCAATAGTTATAGTACATGTTAAGTTGGTGTCATTGAGTGTAGTATTACTCTTTTTTTTTTTTTTTGACAGATAATATCACCTATTTAGATATGCATCCGGGTGCATTTAAAGTTTATTACATTAAAGAATATAGTTTTCTACTTATTTGATGTATATTTTATCCTTTTAAACTATTTAAGTAAGCAAAAACATCACCTCAAATGAAAAACAATAAAATCACACATGTAAACACCTACCTCTATGTGTACCAAAATGCATATAAGAATATGTTTATAACTACTATATCCAGTGGCGGACCCAGGAATTTCCGACTGGTGAGTCACAATTGATAACCAAATATGTAAAAAGAAAAAATTTACCAAAATTCCCAAGAAAAATTATTTACAAAGATCATCCAAATAGAAAATTGACAAGATTACAGTACTAACTAATAATTAACAAGCTTAAAATTGACAAGACTAAAATTAACAAACTAATAATTAACAAGCTAATAATTGACAACATGACAAGCTTAGCTCTCTAATAATTAACAAACTAATAATTGACAAGATTAAAATTTGTACAAGCATTAGGTTCACATTTCATCAAAAACCCAACAACATTAACAAAAGGTTCAAAGTTAGTATTTTTTTTTTAAAAAAAAACTTAGAAAATAATTTTTTTTTTATTTTTTTTTTTTAAAAACTTAAAAAATATTTTGGGCCCTGGTGAGTCATTTGACCCACCAGGCATAAGGCCAAGTCCGCCAATGACTATATCCTCCCTATAGGCCTAATAGTCTCATAAATATTTTATTTTAAACACTAAATTAATAATTGAAATCTAGAAAAGTAAATTATTATTTATTAAAAATTGAATAAAGGAGAGGTAATTTTATTAAATAAATAGGATTATCCGACACATACAATCAAAGGATTATTAATAAATATATATATATATATATGGAGAATTTCCCCATATAAGTACATTCTATAGTTGGGATACTATATAACAAAAATCATAGTCATTTGGATCTTGTTAAATTTGCCTGGACAAATATATATTTTTAAATACAAACTCTTAAAAAGACTCGGTTCACATTAATTTATTTTAAACCACGAATATTAGGGATACTATGGTCATTTTATTAATAAAAAAAGGTTGCTATGTTAAAATAAAAGTTATTATGTTAAAATAAAAAATACATTATTATTGTAAAGGTGATAAGAGATTTTTTTTTTTTTTAAAAAAAAAAAATTGAAAGTTTCAATATATTGGCCAATATGAATAATAAAGGTTACTATATTAAAATTAGGGTCACTATATTCAATGTAACGCCGACTGACACGTATGTAATTCAGGTTCACAATAATATTTAAGATCACACAAGTTTTAATAAATGTCACTATGTTAAAATTAGGGATTCTATATTCAACATAACAACAATTGCGTGCATATGAACCTCAAGTCCACATTGATATTATTGTGAATCAGGTTCAGACAAATCTTTTCCATTTTTAAAATATTAACTTTTAATAATAATTATTATAATTACACAACTAAAAATATTAATGGTCAACATGTTTTTAGGAGGTGGTGTAGATGAGAGTAATACTTTGTACCTAGTAGTTAGCAAGCAAGAGTAAAAACACTTAGCAAATTTGCGAACCTTCTTCATAGTTCGCACTTTTCGTGCATGAAATAGTGGAGATATAAAATAAACAAGGGCCTATGTGGTTTCGACTATAGCATTACAGAGTATTTCGTATCATACATAAATTGTTTTTATTATTGCTTTTTGCACCATTTTATGTCTTTAACAATGTATAAACAAAAATAACCAATATTAAGATACACTAAGACCAATCCATTTTTCAAGCTATGCTATTTGTCTTTATAGTTAGATAAAAAAATGATAAAACCCATTGGTTTAAGTTAGCGTGTATATGCAGTTAAACCAAAAGGTTAGACAAATATGGACTTGAAATAAAGAGAGAGTAAAAGTAATACAAATTCAAACTAGATACTTATATAACATTAATTTTATTTAGATTTTATAACAACACTAATACCACAAGAACCGGAGATAGCACTACATTCAACGAGAAACTTAGCTTCTGTTTTGTTTATTATGATCCAAATATAAGGACCAATACTTAACTAGGGGAAAATTAGTACTAGCTAGAACATTAAAACTAGATTAACCTGATTCTTAATTAATTAATTCAACTTCAAATTCTTATATACACCCAGACACAAAGTACACCTAAGGTAATTTTTTACTCAATCGATAATTAAATGAATATTAATCATCAAAATGAGCAAAAAATACTGTTGAAAGCACCTTACACCAGGGTGTATATAAGAATCCCACGGCTAAACGAGAGCAATAAGGTTAACATTTTTGATATTATTAATAGTAGTAGAATCATTATTATTAGCAGTAGCAGTAGTATCATTAGTAGTTTTATTAATAGCAGTATCATTAGCAGCCTTCTGTTTGCCCCATTTCCTAATTTGAATTTGAAGCATAGCAAAAACAGCCAAAAAATCAACCCTTTGCCTTGGAGTAAGCACATCGAAAATCCCCTTCAAAGTCTTAAGCCTAACATAATCAGCCATCTTCATAACCTTCTCCATCCCATCCATCAACCCTTTCATAGCCACCCCCACCATATCTTCGACTCGGCTCGTCTCGTTGACATCCTTCCGACTCGACATTTTCGCCAACCCCACCATCTTCAAGTCACAAATAGCCATCTGCAGCCTCTCCAAATCCATCTCCACCTTTTGCTCCTCATGTTTAATCCTCGCCCCGAGCGCCGCAACACTGCTAGCCTGCTCATCAGTGAGCTGAGCCAGGCTAGTGAGCGGTGCCCGAGTCGTACGGAGGGATTCCACAAGGCGAAACGCAGTAGAAGGTTTCCACCCGGTAACCCAGGTGAAAGCCGCCTCGAGTGGGCTAGCCCACTGAGGCGAAAAGAAAGACAACACATCATCCCTAGCTGCAGCCCACTTGGCCGTATAGAACTCCTTGTGGTGAGTTGTTAAGGTCGCCACCACGACGTCATAATTTGGGTGGCGGCCTAAAACAAGTTGCTGAAGGTGAACTTCAAGTTGCTTAAGCCAACTCTCATAGTAAGCACAGAATTTCTCTTCTACTATAGAAGTTGTAGAAGTAGCAGCAGGATATTTCAATGGCAAAATTAAATTAGAATTCATTATAAATGTTATATATGATATTTTATTTGAAGTTGATTTTATGGGTAAGTTGGAGAGAGAAAAAAGAAGGGGTATAAATAGGGTGTGAAAGATGAAACAGGTGAGGTGGGAGGTGAGAGTACTGTAGTGCATGGCTTACGCGCAGCATGCTATGAGCCGTCTAGTTTCAAAGGGTGGCTTCTTCTGTGTCGTGATTTGCACCAATTATAAATATATTTGTACTAAACTATTCACTTACGTATTTGTATCAGGAGTTGTAACATATTCGAAACTCATTCCTCAAAAAAAAAAAAAAAAAAAAATTAAAACTCATGTTTCTTCTACTTGTATTAATAACTGGGTCCTACACCAACCACTTATTTTATAATTTATTCCGTTCTTTCTTAATCACAACTATCTTCTAATTACTCCCTCCGTCCTATAATAGCTGGCACGTTGTACTTTTATTCACTATTTATATATTAATATTGATTAAATATAATTTTTTTTTATTAACATAATAACAACATATTTTTCTCATAGAACATGTAAAAATAAAGTTTCATAACAAAATTTTTTAAATATAATTTTCATTAATATTTATTTATGTAAATTAAGGTCAAAATAGTGCATCGGCATGTGTGCAAAATTTGACTGTGTCAGTTATTATGTCAAGGAGTATATATATATGCTCTTTTTTCGTTCTTTCTATTACAAAATATTGCAATATTTGACATTTTACACTATTTAAATCGTTTTTTTTTTTGTGATTTTATATATTAAAAAGAAAAACATAATCACACAAGGGACCTTATTATTAAATTCATTATGATATATACTTGTACTAAAAGATGTATTAATGGTACGAAGTATTAAATATCAAAAAATAATGGGTGAATCCGTTTCACAATAAGTCTACCTACCCGGTAAATTAATTTCAAAAAAACTAATATGTTCAATAACTATTAAGAAATTTTCAAAATTTTGTATGAAATGTTAAAATCTTAATCTAAATTTCAAAAGTCAATATGTTTAAAAACTTATATGAAATGACTAATAACCTATAAATAATGTTCATTTTACCTTATTCGGATCAAATAATAATCGGTAAAAAATAATTTTATTTTTATAAAAATAGTTAAGTGTAGAAAAACAAATTTAGTTTAGTAAAAATAAGTTTTAATCAACTAGCACAAATCAGTAACTTAAACTATAGAACAGGTATAATAGAGAGCCTGTAAAAATAAATTTTTAATCCATAAAAATTATTTTAGTTTAGTAAATTAATATACGTTCAGCAAAAAATAATTTGATCTCACTATATATAATTTTAGTTTTAAAATAATTTTAATTGAACAAAAATAAGGTGAAATGAGCATGGCCTAAATAGTAGGTGAATTGATTAACATTCCCTCAGTGTTAAAGTTATTATATTCATTTTTTATTTAAACTTTTTTCCTTATATACAATTGAATATTAACTTATTACAATTCATTATACCAATTTATTTAGAAATTATATATAACTAATATAATTGTTTTTAACACGTAAAATAATCTTTTATTACTCCGCTGAAAATATTAACTTTAATTAAATTAAACTTTGTCGTATGAAATCACACACACTGGTAAGTTCATAAAAATCAATTTCAATCATTAACATTAAGTTTTGAATAGTGAAAAATAGTTATAATCGATATAAACTAACTTGAATTCAATAGAGAATTATCAAGTGAAATGATTAGGCTTAATTTTGTAAATGAAGTACGAAAAAGTAGTCTTTTAATTTATTGCCAAATAATAAACTTTAAAAATATGAAAATACAACCTTACAACAAAAAAACCTAAATTTCCATCACTCAATTCGATTACCGGTAGTTGAAAATAAACTGACACGTCTTTTTAACCCTCTTTGAAACCGTTCCTATAAGGTGGGGATCAAGACTAGGAGAAGATGCATTAAGTTGGATTTTGGTGATTTATCACAAATCAACAACATTCTTACGTAATTCACTTGACAACATTCATACATAATTCTGTTACGTTACCAGTAAAATTAAACTGACACATTATCCAAACCCTCCTTGAAACTGTTCCTGTAGGTGGGGGTTGAGATTGTGAGAATATTATTGATGCATTAAATTGAACTTTGGTGATTTACCACAACTCGACAACATTCATACGTAATTCTGTTAGATAAAATCATAATGACTCTTTGATCCTCCCCGAACTGTTCCTATAAGGTAGGGATAATGTGGTGGTGATCAATAATATTGTTTATTAAATTGAGTTTTGGTGATTTTCTAACCAAAATCTGAACTTACTTTTATGATGACCTAATTCTTTTATAGACATATATAGTAACAATTTAATAACCTTCTACTCCCTTCATTCATTGTTATTTGTTGCGTTTGAAATATGTTTATGCCCTATTATTTTAAAAATTAAATTATAAAACAATAAATCTATAAATTAGGTTATAATCCTTAAAAAAAAATTAAAAAAGTTTATAATCTTAAAAGAGGACTGACCTAATTATTGTTCAATCTACCTTTTTTTAGTAAATTTTCTCTTAAAAAATTAACATTAGTGACCTTAATTGGGTTTTTAAAATTAATATTTTATCAAAAGTTTAATTGGGTTTTTAAAATTTTAGGAGCATACGTAAAAAAATATTAAAAAAAAGAAGGAAAAAAAAAAATTAAGCTCAAGCTAAGTTTTATTCAATTATGAATTCAAAATTTTGAGTTGAAGGTGAAAAATTAACCAATAATACATTTGCTTCAACTAAATGACTACTTAGATGTGACAAACTAGCTATTCGGATTGGATTAAGTATTTAAGTTATGGATTTGATAATTATTTGGCTGAGTCGATTATCACTAACCGATTCTACTCATTGTTTTTGTTGGACGCTAAAATCGTTAATTTTGTAGTGCATCAAGATTCAAGATGACCTTTGGTCTTTTCTTTTCTTTTCTTTTTTTTTTTTCTTATTTTGAATATTTAATACTCTTTTTTTGAAACGAAATATTTTATACATTTTTTTTTTTTGAAAAAAATATTTTATATTTCTAAGCAAATATAAATCTAGATAAATTATATATTTTAAAAAAAGTATATTTTAGAAAATAACACCACAAAAATCACACAAATTTGATTATAACACCAAAAAAAAAAAAAAAAAAAAACCTTTTATTATAACACCACAACAAAATGCAAAAATTGAATTTCACCACCTATTAACGGATTCCATCCAAGAATCCGTTAGTGGAGCCACAACAAACACGTGTCACAAATATATTGGTTTTAAAAAAATAAAGAAAAAAAAACCTAAAACCTTAACCAGGCACCACCACTACCACCACCGACAGCCCTACAACACAACACCGACTTCCCCCTCTGCCGCCAAGCCAAGCCAGGCGCCGAAACCCCTATTTCTCGATGAACCCCATCGCCCCACCAGCCCTACCACCACCATAGCCCCCCGCAAAGCTAGAATTAAACCCAAATTTGCGGGTGTTAGGGGAGGAGCTTTCTGGGTATATCGGTGATAGGGGAGTAGGTTTCGGGGGCTGCCGGCGTTATGGGAGGAGGTTTTGGGGGTTTTCGGTGTTAGGGAAGGATGTGTTGGGGGTGCTGATGTTAGGGGAGGTGATTCGGGGGTTGCCGGTGTTAGGGGAGGGGGTTTTGGGCGGTGCTGGTGTTAGGGGAAGGGATATCGAGCGGTGGCATTAGGGGAGGGGTTTACCGGCGGTCGGCTGGCTGGTTTCGTCGTCGAGGGTGGTCGCCTAGGTTGGAGTGATGGCGGTGGGAATCGGCGCCGGTGGTGGGGGTGGTGGCTGGGTTAGGATTTTAGGGTTTTTTTTAATTTTTCTTTTTTTTAATCCAATATATAATTGACACGTGTGCAGTGTGGGTTCCAGTAATAGTTTTTTTGGATGGAAAAGTTAAGTGGTGGTGAAATCCAATTTTTGGATTTTTTTTAGTGATGTTATAATAAAAGTTTTAAAATTTGTGGTGTTATAATAAAATTTGTGTGATTTTTGTGGTGTTATTTTCTAAAAAAATCCTTAAAAAAACATACGCATGTAAGATCTTGTTTACTTTGTCGTGAAAAGTAAATTCTAGATATTAATATTTAAAAATTTATTTTATTTAAAAATATATACATTTAAATGTGTGCATCAAAAATTGCGTAAAAATGTGATAAAGTATATAAATCAATCATATGTTTCAACCACAGCTTAAGTTTTTGGTTAAGATAATATTTTAACATGGTATTAGCTCCCAACGTGACACAAAAGTCATAGTTTTGAATCTCATATCCCACCTCATCTTTCAAAACGAAATATTAAACGTTAGGAATATTAATTAGTGTTGAGTAGACTTGTCAATTTTTTGACCCGACCCGCAAACCCGACCTGAACTCGACCTGTTTTGTGGGTCTTAAACAGCTTTTTTTTTTACCCGTAATCCAATCTAACCCGAATCCGTTTAACCCGTAAATTTGCGGGTCAAACCCGACTTGAACCCTAACCCGACTCGTTGACCTGATGATGTGAATCAAGAGGCTAATTCCTTTGAAAGGTCCAAGACACTTTTAGAAGGTCCAAATAGCCCCATTATAGGCTGCCCAAACAAAGAAATAAACAAGGAAAGGTTCACTAGTTCAATAGGGAAAGAAGGAAGCATGATTTGCAAAGAAGAAGAAATGGAGCAGTTCACTTCCGGCGAGGATCACGATGGCCACGCGCCACCTTCCCGGAACCACCTTGAACCCAGCTGCAGCCTGAGCCGGCGCGTGAGGCAAAGGTCGGCACGTGTGGTGGTGTGGTGGCGGCGACATGAAAAGGATGATTTTTTATACTTAGTTTTTTTCTAGAGTTTTGCTTGCAAGTTTTTACCTTTTACTTGAAAGGGTTTTTCTTGGTTTAAGCACTTAGGATAAGTTTATTTTCTGTCTTTTAGTTGCTATAAACTTCCTAAGGTGATTAGGAAAGTTTTTAGTTAGTTAGAGTTTGATTAGGAATAAACTATCTAGCAATCTTATCTTTGATGGGATTGAAGTTCTATCTTATGTAGGATTATTAGAATCCTATTTAGGTTAGATCTTCTACTTCTAGGAGGACTAGGAGACCTCTTTTGAGGCCTATAAATAGTTTATTTTCGTGGGTCTTCAAAGGACACACAACCAGAAAATCAAATAAAAATTAATTGTTTGTTTTGCTTAATTGCTTACAACTTCTTTTGGCTAGTTTTCAATTCAAGGAGTTGTTTTGATAATTAGTTCGGGCAACACTTAGTTCTAGGAGTAGTCTAAGTTTTGTTCTTCAAATTACTTAGTTCCAGGAGTGGTCTAGGAAGTTTGAGAGGCGTTGAATTCGTTCCAGGAGTGGTCGCTTTCAAGGTCATATCCGGTTTGTTATCCTTAAGTTGTTCGATTTTCTAAGGAGATTCGAAGGGCTTATTTTACTTGTGTGATTTTAGATTCTTTATTAAGTTAAGGAGTTTAAATCCACATCACCCGATTTTATGATTTTTTTTTAATAAAAACATTTATTTGAAAATTAATATTAGTTTATTGATTAAGCTTTACCATTTATCTACCATCGAACATTCGTTTAATCTCTTTTTCATTTATCTATCTCATATAACTCTTACTCAAATCCACACCAATTACCTCCTACACCAACTATTGACTTATACTAATTGCATACACATAACCCACATCATTGTCATGCATGTCACTGATTGATATATATGTCTACTGATATTATGTCAAGTTATATTATACTCCACATATATAATAATGCTAGCCTCTTCCTTAAATTTTGAGATGTTTAAAAGTTTTATTTTTAATTTTATTATCATTTTTATTAGTTAGGAATTGATGTGCTTTGGTGAAATGATGACAGTTTAAATTATGTGGCATGTAATGGCTAATCCAAAATAATATGGTGAAGATGTTCTACTATAAATGTGGGGAAAAAAATAGCAAAGTAAGCTTGAAAAATCAGAAATTTCTAAAAATTAACCAATAAAAAATTAAGTAAAAAATTGTTCTAAACCCGTTGGGTTGACCCGAACCCGAAACTTTGGGTTAGGGTTGAGCGTTTCTCAACCCGTGACCCGAAGTGACCCGACCCGACCCGAAATTACCTGTGACCCGAAGCGACCTGACTCGGCTGACCCGATTGACAGGTCTAGTGTTGAGTATGATAGGTCATATACTGCATCTACAATTCAAGCCCAATGAGATTTTATGTGAAAAGGCGTAATATGGTATTTAAACCAATGATGTGTTTCAATATCATCACTTTAATACTTCCTCCATTCTTTTTTACTTGACCCGCTTTGACTTTTACACTATTCACCACCCCTCCTTTGACCGTCTATTGTGAAATATACGTAAGGAAAAACATATACTTGCTCCGTGTTTTATTAAGTGTTACACTTTGACCAACACATAGTTTTAGGCAATTTAATTGACTTAAATAAAATAAGAGGTAAATGGGGTAGTTGGAGTATTAAAAATTGTAAAAGAAAGAGAGTGTGGGTAATAGTTTATTGAAAAATAATGAATGTGAGAGGAAAGAAATAATTAAAAAAGTAGTAGTGGATTTGGGTGAGGACCATGAAAGAAGAAAGATATAATATTAAAATATAACTTTTTGCCAAAAAAAGGAAGTGTAATATTTATTAAAATACGGTCGCATTTGGTAAGTGTAACACTTATTAAAACACAGAGGGAGTATATGTGAGATCTTGTTAGAATTGTCTCAATAAGTAATATCATAATATATAACTTTTATACTCCCTCCGTTTTTTTTTTTTTTTTATAAGCTAGAGTTGAGATTTTCCACTATTCATATGTCATCATTGACTTAATTTTTTTACCAATATATAATATATAAATATGATCATATAATATGTTGTTGGATTTGTCATAATATCTACTTTTATAAATTAATTTTTTCATAATTTTTACTATATCTCTTATTAAAAATATTAATAGTTAAAGTTGTGTCTCGACAAATGTGCAAATTTGACTAGCTTATAAGAAAAAAAAAAAAAAAAAACAGAGGGAGTAATTTTTACTTATGAATAATTAAAGTCGTTGATGGTAAAAGTTTTATATTGACACGCGTTATAAATGAAACAGGTTAAGTAAAAAAATAATGAAGTAAGTTTTCGGTTGAGATAATTTTAAAGGAGACGAGACTCATGACTCACGAGATTATTAGAAAGTCAATAAGTTTTTACAAGTTTTATTTACAGTGACACTTGTCACTGTAGAAGAGACATTTAATCCACTTGGCCATCAACACTAGCATTTTAACATTTGGAAGCAACATGTTCATCACTTCATAAAATTTCTGTTTTATAGGATTCATGCATTTTGTTGTTACTTTTGCTTTATATAATAAGTTCACTTTTTTTTTCCTCCTGAATACTTGCAAAATATAAGGTAAAGTATATGTATATGTTAAAATAAAAAGAAATTGATTTTTTGAAATAAATTGGAAAATAATACTCTAACCATAACTTTTTACAAATGGAGGTGTAATGATTCATTGACCAATGGGGTGAGTTAAAGGTAGGAAATGTGGCAGAAAGAGAGTGTTGGCGTGGCAGGAGTAAAGAGTGGTGATATGCCACGTGGATTGACAAGGTGACTCGTGGCTTAGAAAAGTTTCAAGGGTCAACCCATTTACCTAGTTTTTGTACCCTTTTTGTTTTGTTTTAATGAAAAGTCGATGTTTTTCATTGGCTAGCTTCATGGTATGACTCACAATACTCTTCATTCCGGTGGGCAATTGCATAAAAGCCGGTTTGATTCATCTTATTTTGAGTTATTTTAAATGTACTTACTCTCTTTTTGTATAAGTGTCTTAGTTTGACCGATAAATCTGTTAATGTAGAACTTTGATCAATAATATTTTATATTACTAATAAATATAAATCATCAGAGTTGATATTCAAAAACTATGTATTGAGATGACTCTAATAAGCATCTCTTATTTATAAACCACAAATATCAGTTATAATGATGTATTTAAATAGTGCAAAAGTCAAATTAGACACTTAAAGAAAACAAAGGGAATAATCAGTTTTTTCAGACAATTTCTAACAAAATTTTACACAAATAAAACAATTTTAGAAAAATAAAAGTACTTTTAATTAAAATAAACTAATTTTGTTTCATGGTCTTATGTAAAGAGGGAAGACAATTATGTTGCTCATCACCTCGCTAGATTAGTGCCTTTTAGAGTAGAACAGGTTTGGGTTAATCATTGTCCTAGTGAAATTACCTATATGTACTCTAGGACACTTTGACTATGCATTAATAAAGCACTAATCTTTTCTTGAAAAAAAAAAAATAAAAAATACAAGGCCTAAGTTGAATTGGATCAACGTCCATGTCCAGTTTAAGTGATACGATTAACCTACTGTATTTTCATTATCAGGTTTAATTACAATAGGTTAAGTTAGAGATTTTAACTCAAACCCAACACATTTTAACCCATATAAAAATGTCTATTACAAATGTAGTATATGATTCCTTAAAGCAATATTTTTCTCTTGAGACCCTCTACTAACATGATTACATGACTACAAGAGGTTGCCATAGTAAGTGATGGGCTGGGTTTCAAAGCGAGTCGAACAAGGGAATCTGAACACATGCCCAGATAGTCTCCCAGGCCGCTCGGACTTGTGCTGGGTCACTGGTTAGGCTAGGCTAGTCCATATGGATCATAAATTTGTCAATTTTTTTGGAATATAGGAAGTAAAACCTATTAAATCAGTTTAAAACTTTGAACAAGGTATCTGGTGAGTTCAACCCACAACCTCCTGCTAGGTGGATCAGTCCAAGTGAAGTAGTGCAAGGGCCAAAATCAAGTCTAACTCTCTCAGCTTGGTGCCTAACCGAGTGTGTCAAGATTGGATCAGTCAACCCAGCCCATGGGTCACCTTTTTCTTACATGACCCATGAAGACAAGATACATGACTCCCATCAAACAAGGGCATAGAATGTTAATAGTAAGGACATGCTTGGATTGAGGGAAATGTATTACTAGGATAATAAAAGTCAAACTAAGCAAAATGAAAGTAAATAGGGAAGGAGGAGATAGTGATGGTGTGCTTATAAGAAAAATTATGTAGTGATAGTAAAGTATAAGGTGAAGAAAGAGACTCATTTTGGAGGTAATAGTTACAGTAAGGGGAGGGTGTGCAACTATTACTCTCATTATGAGGGTAATAATTCCTCCATCTCTCTCTTTTCCTCATGGAACAACTACCTTATTTCATTTGTAAACACCACACCTCCTACAACACCTCTAATTACTTATGTTTTTTCAAGTTTGACTTTTATTACCCCCTTAATATATTACCCCCAATCCAAACATGCCCTAAGAGAAGATGAATGAAAAAATAAAAAAATAATCACAAGAAATTACAGAGCTAAAAGGTAGAATCGCGCATATCTTCTTGTACTTCAGTAAGAGGGTGGGTCTATTTCTCTTGCATATGATCACAATACAACAAGCAAGGCACATCTTTGAAGCATACAAAGAGAAAAGGAAAGGACAGAAAATTAAGATGCCTCTACAGACAGGATTTCTAGTTCAGCCCACCAAAGGGGGGAGAGCCGGGGTACTGCAGCATCAGGTGTAATAGGAATGGCTTGCCTCAATTTCGTCGTGACTTCCTTCATCGTGGGTCTACGTGAGGGTTCGGATTTAATGCACTGCAAAATAACATCGCATATAACATCTAGCTCATTAGTCTTGATAGATTTGAGAATTGGATCGATCAAGTCCTTGTTATTCTCCCTGTCATTCAAGTACTTCAAAGCCTGCAAGACCCAGTAGATATAAATGTGAGCCACAGCGAGTCTAACCAGTCCATTACTTAAATTGTATGGATACAAAAACGGATTGGTGATGCAGACAAAGAAAAGGGAATTCTGAACTTAGCGGACTGGGGTATGTATTCAACAGAATTATAAGTCTCACCTTTCATAAAAAGGATGATACGGAAAATCAAGAATATACGAATACTGTAAAAACTTTATCTTAACAAGCACGCCATATAAAAATAAAATAAAAAACTCTGAAAATTCATGCAAAATGACTCCTAGCTATTCAGAGGCATGATACATGATAGTGTGAATATGTACGAGATGCATCATCCGTCTAAAATTGTCGGCTATACCAATGTTAAAAATAAGGTGATTGGTGAAGAGAGTAGTAGACAATGATGAGATTTGGATCAGAATTATACCCAGTCTACCAAATAACCCTGCTCTTCCGAGTATGGAAGCCTTCCTGTGATGGTTTCAAGCAACAATATGCCAAACTCATACACATTTTGCCGTAGATCAGCAGTTTTAGTCGATACAGAGGGCTTTGAACCATCTTCACCTGACACCTTAGCTTCAGGTAAAACATCAAATGGCTTCTCCACAAGCTGGGTCAACAAAAGGAATGACATAAAAAAACCAGTGAGAAAAGGGAGACAGAAAGCATGGCACGGGTGCGCTGATTCATTTGTACATGTAAAAGGAAGGTGTACCTTGGCTGCATAATCATCAGTCAAATAGATTATAGAGGACCGTAAGTTCATATGGGCCACTGGAGGATTTAGGTCATGATGCATGTATTGGAGACAATAGGCTGCTCCCATAATTACCCTCATTCTAGCATTCCAGTCAAGACGCTCAACTTCTTTAACTGTACACACGCACAAAAGTTAGAAGACTGAGTGAGTAGAAAAAATGAGGGTCAAATTCTAAACCTTTTACAAAGTATCACAGGAGAGACAGAACAACACTCAATTTTTGGCATAAAAGGAAAGTTACCGTGGAGATGCTCAAAAAAGCTACCACTTGGGGCATATTCAAGCACCATCATTCGAGTGAAAGGTTCGTTTTCTTCACAATAACCAAGAAGATTGACATAGTTCTTGTGATTCACCCGTGACAATGTTTCAATCTGTAACAATACAGTGTCAGAAGATGAATACTACTGATAAACATAGTCCCTCCACCCCCCATTTGTTGTTCTTCATTCCTTTTTATAATGTCTAATTCTTCTGCATGGTTTCTTCAGTTACACTAATTATTTTCCCATCTTAATTGCAGGTATCAGTTAATTTAATAGTGCAATAGCGGATTTCCAGTTCAAAAGATTGCATCAAGTTGAGGTACTTGTTAATTACAAGAAGAAGAGATTCAATAAGCATGTTTTGTCAAATCACGCACACAATTCGCAACCAAGGAATTAGATATTAAGCCTAGAGCTTCAGCATTCTCTGACAACAAACCTTCTTCCGGTATGCCAATTCTGCAGCATCTAACCAATCAGTTGAAGATTTGACAAGAGTTGATGCAACAGCAATTTCAACTCCACTTGATAAGGTTCCTTTGTATATTGTGAAAGCATCGAAAGTAGCGATTATATTGCTGAAGTCCTCACATGCTGTTTCCAGTTCCGATCTATTTAACTTAGGGACTCCTGTAGCAAGACAGCCATCCCCAGATAATCTTTTCAGAATACAACCAAAAAAAAAATGATGAAAGATGCAAGAGGTTCAGCAGATTATAGGGCTATATAGCTGAAAGTAAGATTGACAGAGGGGAAAACTTAGTAATAAGTTCCCTTGGACATACAAGTACTTGATCATTATCACATCATATGCAGTCAAGAGAATCATCATTTTTTTTTTCAGAGGGGGGAGAATCATTAACTTAAACATATATATTACACTGAGAAAAAGTAGGATTATTTTCATTCCTTTCTGTCATTAGTTCACCATTTTTATGATGGTATGTAAGATTATGAGTTCACAAATAACATTGTGCCTACACTAGAGATCAGACTCGGTCAGCTACCACATACTGTAATCTCCATTTGATGGTGATGCAGCTGATGCTAATTAGACCCTCATAAACAAAGCCATGTATTTTAGTACAAATGCCCGTGAAAAGAATAGAAAAGTTCACCTGTAACAAATGCCTTTTGTAATTGCCCACTAATGCCAGTCTTAAAGGGGCCTATAGGCCTTGCACCTCGACTTCTCCACATGAAATACAAAGCAGCAGCAACGGCAAGCAAAAATAACACTCCAAGACCAATAGCAACGAACACCCAAACCTTTTGAGAAGGCTTTTCTGTGTTGGCATGGGATTGGGCAGGTTGAGCAGGTGTTTTCTCCTGCTGTGAGTTAGAATCAGAAGGCACTAAAGAGGGTGGTCGAGACTGGCTCTTCTCCTTGACTAAGGCTGGAAAAGACCCACTACTACTTAGAACTGGTTGAGAGGTGACTTGAGAAACAGGGCTGTATTTCGCCGGTAAAGCTTCAACATTTGACTGATCAATTAATTTACGACGAGCAACAGTAGCTAGCACCTGTGCATTTTGAAGCATGTTTGGCTCATATGAAGCTGATAAACACAGGAGAAAAAACCTTGTCAGCAATTTAAAGTATAAGAATTAGATCAGGACTGAGGAGCTTACATTGACTTACTTTCCAGATTATGAATTTGGTTACTTCCATGACCAAGCCACGACTCCATCGCAACTTTTGGCCTTGAAATCAGGGGGATAATAAGGTCAGTTCGATAAATATAGTGTTCAGTACTGCAGAATGCAATCCTTATGATAGCATGAAATTGCAAGACTGAGGATAAAGAAAATTGCTCACAAAGGCAGGGAACCAAATGGTAACACGGCAAATATCTAGAATGAAAATGGGATGGGTGTGTGTTAAAAGGAACTGAAAATTTACATCAAACCAAACGGGGGCCTTAAAGTTAACAAAAGTGTCAAAAGGTACAGAAAGGAAAGGAGACAATACACTGATGCAGAAATTATACATATTTAGTTACAATCAGCTAGTGCACACATTGCAGATTAGGCAACAAATTAAGAACATGCCAGCAAATAAGAGCTTGTACAATGGAAACCACGTAAAGAAAGTAAGAAACCCTATTTCTAAATTACCCAGTTTATCAAAATACAAAACAAGTCAATTAATGACTACTTTAGAGATGTGCAAAGTATTAATAATTCACCACAGCAAATCCTGATCTGTATGTAATTCTTACCGGTGGCCAAATTTTCTGTTAGTAACAGATGCAAGGTGTTCATCAAATTGCAGCACAGACAAGCTATGCTCCTTAAGCTCAGGAGGGATGGTTCCTTCAAAATTATTGTCACTAAGCAATCTGTAGCAATATAAAGAGTATGGTCATTTACACTTCAAGCCAAAAACTTATCTCTAGAACATTTCATAAAGGCACTTACAATCGTTTCAGTGACACCATGTTGGCAATCTCTGCTGGAATCACTCCAGTCAAATAATTCCCACTCAAATCCAATACCTCAAGCGTGGTAAGACATCCAAACTCCACTGGAATGGCACCTGAGAGGCGGTTTCCACGGAGTATTCTGTTCGACAAGGCAAACAGAATTACAAATCTTCCAATAGAATAAAAAGAAACCAGCACTTAAAAAATGGTGACAACTGCAAATAATTCTGAAATTTTTTTATCATTTGAACCTTAATACAAGGATTAAACCACTCACAGAGATCTTAAATTGTCTAGGTACCCAAGCTCAGGCGTCAGAGTTCCTTCTAGAGAAAGTCCACTCAGGTCTCTGCAAGGGAAACGAATTCATTCAATAATAAAAATATTTTCTTCCCTACTAACACTAATAATGTCAAAGTTAAATACATCACTTCAAACTCTAAGGCAATAAGTCAGACATATAGCATCGATATAAGCCAAAACAATAATAGTAAATACAACTGGAACTTACAGCATATGCACTTTATCGTCGACACAGCGGACACCCTTCCATTTACACGGGTGATCATCTTCAGAATTCCAACTTGCAAGGGAATTATAGGGATCTGAGTCTATTCTAGAACGGAATTTTAACAAAGTTGATCCTACAACAAAATCATCAATTTTAAACCAAAAGCCAGATTTGGAACTTTGCAAAATATGTAGTAGAGATCATAAAGTATCTTAAGCTTACCTTCAAGATTGAGGGATGACGAGCCCCGAAACCCCAAACTGAGAATCAAAACCACAAAACAGGTATAATGAAGCTTAAAAATTCTCCATCTTCCACCCATTGCTTGTTCAACACAACGCTGGAACGGTGGGGCTACAAAGAACATCCCCCAACAGCCAGCACCTATACAAAATGCTATTGTACAAAATCGCCAGATTTCACTTCAATGACCAAGAACTGGTCAGAAAACAAAAACTAACTAAAGAACTATACAAAATCTACAACCGGCTGCCACGACTTATACAAATGCTACAATGAGTTGCATTACAAAGTATGAATAGGCTAAAGAGCTGCAATATGAACCCGGAACAACGGCCTCTTCTTGAACTTAACAGGTATGTCTGTGCCCCTCATTTTTGCAGTCTATGTTAGACAAAGAACCATTACTCGGTGAACAATACGACCAACAACTCGACCGATTTCACCCCTAAGACAACCACCAAAATATGGTGGATCAGAGTAAAATTATGCATAACAAGCATCAAAAACAAAATTAAACCCTTTACAAATTGAACAAAAGGGTATCACAAAATAGCTAATAAACCACATTTTAGGATCAAGTAAGGAAATTAACCACATTTGGGCACATTCTGCAAACAAGGTAGGAAAAAATGTACAAGAAAAACAGATTAAAAAATAAACCCTTTTCAAATTTATCAAATGGGCACCACAAAATAGCATCAAAACCATATTTCAACATGAAAGCAAGGAATCATAGAATAAACCCATAAACAAGCAATCCTTTAAAAAGGCAACAAAAAAAAAGACAGAATTTTTAGGGTTTACCTGAATTCAGGGGGCCACGAAAGTAACCAAGATTGAAACTTTTAGCTGCTGCTTCCTTCAATGGTTATGTCTCAATTTTTCTGGGGTTGTCATAAATTAATGAAATTTTGGAAAATTTACGGAGAATTAAAATTGTAAAAAAAAATTTTAAAAAATGAAAAAATTAAAAATTAAAGAATTTGGTAATGCTGCCCTTTGATGAAGACTCAAAAGAAAGAAATGAGCCTCCAAAAGGGCTAAATTTTTTCCTCAATTTTGTTCTTATTTCTCTCTCTAACTCCCTTGATTTTCTCTCTCATCCTCTAACAATCTCAGGTCGCTACCATGTTTTTCCCTTATTTTCCCATTTTTTTCATTTTTCATTTATTTATTTAATTTTATTTTATGATTCCCTTTATGCCAACTACTTATATTTTTAAAATATTAAATTTGGCGGTCCAAAATTCCAAATGGCAACCTTTTATCAAAAAAAATATTAAAAATCCATTATTTGAGGAGTAAGGTGGGTCCCACACCCACGTCTTGCCGCCGGCATTATTTTTACCGGTTTTAACTGTCACCGTCGAAGGGAATTTGTAGCCTATTTCCCGCGATTTTTCTCACCGTATTTGGGAATCTAAGTTAAAATTACCTTTAGGATTACATTTTAGTATTTAATTATGAAATTATGATTAAGTAATAATTTGTGCATCTTGCTGTTGACTATTATCCCTCACTAATTTCAAGTTCAAGTCATCGGCGTGCGTCCCTCAATTGTTGCCAAAATTTTGACTCATTTATTATGTTATCTTTCTTTTGGATTACGCCATCAGGTCATACTCATTCTCATTAGTACATCGTATTTTATGTTATCAATTTACGAATGATTTTTATGTAGTCTTATAACTTTTGACTACCACAATTTTTTAAAATGGACAGTTGAAATGATTTATTTATTTATTTATTTTAATTAAAAGTACTTTTTTAATTATTTTAAATATATTTTTATCTTCCAGAAATTATTTTTTAATATTTTTGAAATTCTAGAAATAAAAAATATATATAAAATAATTAAAAAAATAATTTTTAATTAAAATTACTCATTAAAGATAAATCAAAAGTCAAACATCTCAACCGTCCATTTTAAAAAAATCGTGTTAGTCAAAAGTCATAAGACTACATTAGAAATTTCAATCAGTTTACAACTAGTGCTACTATGGAGTTTATGATTTTAAGGATAGGATTTGTAAAGGGACAAACTTTCAAATAAACAAAAGGTTTTGCGTGAGACCAGACTCACTGTGAGTCTAATATGTCTGACAATGATATTCTAATATCTGACAATAATAATCTAATACCTGACAATAATAATCTAATACCAAAATACCGGACAATAATAATCTAATACTAAACAATAATAATCTAATACCTGATATTGTTTTCTCCTTCACCATTGACCCTCTTCTTTTTCCATGGCTACAATATTTTCTCTCTCCTCATTACATCCATAGAAACCCCTCCAGATTGGGATTTTCCACATTAAATTAAACAAAGCATCTCTTACACTCCAATTGTAGTGTTGACGCCAAAACCACCACCATTTTCTCTCTCCGCTGTACTCGCCGTCGCAAATCAAACCCCCAAAACTCAACTCCATGTCTTCTCCGCCGGAAAATGCCGTCGAAAACGCCGACGAAGAAACCCAGACAAAGAAGACAGTGGAAGTGGTGGTGGAGGAAGACGGTGGAAGTGGGTAACGAGGTGATGATGGTTGGATTTCGATTTTAGCGAGAGTTGATGAATGAAGGGTGTTGTGAGTGTTGGCGGCGGACTCACGGTGAGTCCGTCTCACCCAAAATTGTGCGTTAAATAAATTGGATATTAATAAGTCTTGTATAAGGCGGATTTACTTTAATTGTGTTATAAGACGGTCAATTTGAGGTTAACTTTAATCTATCCCTTTAAGAGTAACTTTTAATCTGTAATGAATTTAATTGTATTTTAATGTGTAATTTCTAATGGATACATGAAGGCTAATATCATTGATATGATACTTTATACTTCCTCTGTTCCACAAATATTGCAACAAGGATGAAAATACGCATCCCAAAATACATTTTATATGTTAAATATGTATAATTATATAAGAGTAAAAATTGTAAAAAGTTGATATTGTGAAAATATTTTACGAGACGAATCTAACAAGACTCCACATGACTATATTTTATTTTACGTATAAATCATAATTTGTGGTCAAACAAGCATGATTAATAATGCAAAAGTTCAGTTGTTGCAATATTACTAGAACGGAGGAAGTAATTGTTTTTTAAGGATAAAATTATATTAAGAAAATGGTAACTTTTGTAGTACATAAGGGTAACGTTAAATATTTGTTTATGAAAATTATTTGTAAACACGATAAGGAAATTATTTGTAGACATGCCACAAACTAATTAAGCAAATTAACTCGAGTACATTCAGTGGCGGATTCAGGATTTTATAGATAGTAGGTCACCAGTTCACCAAGCATCGTCCATCAATGACATACGAAGTATCAATCAATAAAAATGCATTGTTTACAAAAATAAAATCCAATACTTCACAAAGAGTCATTCTCTAAAAGTAATAAATATTACCACTTTCATTCCTTTTTAATTAAACAATTTATCAAAAATGAGCAAAATAAAATAAAATTATTGGGTGCACTTCGAATCCGGCTCTAAACTTGGAGATAAAGTTGGAATTATTATGTACCTTTTTTTTTATGAAAGATATTTTTGGACCATTTGAGTGTACTTTGCATTCAGATGTATATAAGAATCAAACTTTTCAATGTGATATTATGAAAAATTAGATTTGAAGTTGGAATTATTATATACGGTTTTTTATAAAAAAAGAAAATAAATAAATAAAGGGTAACGCCTAATAATACACAGTACACAACGAAAAAATAATAAGGAATTGAGGAAAACATAGTGCAAAAAAATTGATTAAATTATCTAATTTTGTCAAACTAATTATTAATTCATAATTAAATAATCTAGTTTATAATTAAACTATATGTTTATTGATAATACTTAATCTTAGATTTTCATAAATAAATTATAACTTTAATTATTTTTTTTTTTATTTTTTTTTTTAAATAATGGTGGCCTGGGTCATGTGACCCGCCATGCTCTAACATACATCCGCCAATGCAGTACATAGAACGTCAAAAATAAGATTAATTTAACAGTAGTTTTCATCCTTTTGCAGACAATATAATGTTTTTGCTATTTCATTTATGTATTCCTCCATCCCTCAAGCAAAGCCTATAGCCTCTTGATCGATACCGTTGGTCTGTTGTCTTTGATTGTTTGGAGTTTCTTTATTATCACGTCAATCTTGTATATATGTTAAAATGCGTGAAATCAATATGCCTTTTTTTTTATTAATTATCATGGTGGCTTAGAGATTGTTTATTACTGCCTCCGTTTTTCTAAATCTTATAATTTATTCACTTTATGTTTTATACGTTTTTCTAAGTTCTAATCACTTTTACTTATTCCTTTTATGACAGCTTTTTATTTATATTTTATCATCCACAATCTCACCTTGTGGACCTAATTTTGAATAACAAACCTCTTACTCTCTATCACTCTTCACTATAATACAAAAGTACCTACATGTATGGTCATTATCTTTTCTTTTCCTTAATTTACGTAGTTACAGTAACTTAGTAACACTCCACAGAGGTAGTACTTTTTTTTTTTGTTTTGTTTTTCTTTGCTTATCTTCTGTAATCAAATTAATTAGGAGTCTAGAGATATAAAAATAGCATACAGATATTTTAATTACATGTGGGAATTATTTCATATCAGTACAAAGTTTGTTTTTTTAGTTGGCACATTTCTTTTTTCATATTTGTCAAAGCACTATTTAATGAGTAATATCTCTATATATCACTAAGTAACCATTATAAAAAGTTAATATCATGAAAATATATTTTCTAACAAAATTTACATGATCATGCCTTATCGTAATCATAAATCACAAAACCTAGTCAAGATAGGATTTGTAAATAATGTCAAAAGTCAAAACATATATGTCAATTAAAAAAAACGAAGGAAGCATTAGAACAAAAATCTATTCACATTATTGATACTATTCAAAATTTTGCCGTGCGGTGATGGAAATTTTTTTTTTTAAAAAAAAAGAGAAAAAACACCTCAATTTAGAATCATAATAAGTGTGGTTTTAGAAATGGAGTAGATAGATTTTAAAATAAATATTTGTATTTTTGATGACCGGATGATATGATCTTCAACCTAAGCGGATACAAATATAGATCTTCAACCTAATTAGACAAACGATTGACACTCCAACAATACTCCATCCGTATTTTTTTAAAATGTATCACTTACGGAATTCTAGGAGAGTAATATAATATTATGAGTGGGTGAATAATTTATTATAATAAAAGTAAGATGAGGACCATTACAGAGAAAGTGTGTGTGAGAGAGAGTATATATATATATATATATATATATATATATATATATATTTTGAAATTAGTATATATTTTTATTATTTAAGTGGGGATTATGAGAAAGAGAAATAATAAAATAATTCAAGTGGGGTTTAAAGAAAGAAAGAGAAATGTTAATAAAATATATTATAAAGTTATTACAATATATATAAGTGATGCATTTAAGAAAATCACCCATAAAAGGAAAGTGGTGCATTTTTAAATAAAAAACTGAGGGAGTATTATTGATACAATAAGGGAAAAAGAGACATGAGATTCATAATTTATAGGAAAGCACATGAAATTCATACTAAAAATAACACATGGAAATGAAAAATAAATAAGGAAACAAACAAACTCAAGAGGTAATAATAATAATAATAATAATAATAATAATAATAACAACAACAATAATAATAATAACAATAACAACAATAACAACAACAATAATAATAATAATAATAATAATAATAATAATAATAATAACAAAAGGTTTATCAAGCAGTGTCGTAGGAAGACTTGTGATGGTCATTACACTACTATAGTCCGGGTTCTTTCTTCTTCAGGCGTTGCTCCTTATAATGAGGCCACTCTCGCGAATTTACGGTCTAAACACCCTACTTCTCCAGCTCCATCCTTGCCTGATATACCTGTTGATCACCTTCATCTCGTTACTACTTCTGCTGTTGTTTAGGATCGGATTAAGAGTTTTCCACGTGGCAAATCATGTGGTAGGGACGGTTTACGTGCTCAGCACCTTATGGATTGGTTGAGTGGTGCTGCTATGGCTGTATCAGATGAGTTAGTTGACTCTATTTCCGAGGTGGTTAATCTCTTTCTAGCTGGAAGGTGTCCAATGGAACTAGGAGAGTATATTACTAGTGCTCCTCT